TAAGCTCAGCTTAAAGGGGTGATTCAAGCTCAGCTTTAAGGGGTAATGAAGCTCAGCTCTAGAGATAAAAACGCTTAGCTTTAATTGAGATTAAGCTCCAGGTTTAACTGAGATGACGCTCAGCTTTAAGTAAGACAGCGCTCAGCTTTAAGTAAGACAGCGTCATGCTTTAAGTAAAACAACGCTCAGCTCTAAAGGGTGATGAAGCTTAGCTTTAAAGATGAAATGTTCAACTTGAAGAAAGAAGTCGCTCAGTTTAAAGAAAAGAGACATTAAGCATTAGAAATGAAAACGCTCAGTTTTAAGTAAGCTGACGTTCAGCTTTGAAAAAACAGCTCTCATCTTTAAACAAACAATGATTTTAATAAACAAGTGCCAACGCCTATGTCCCCCAAAAAAATTCTACCTTTTAATGCCACAAAACTCTGTTTGTATTTTAATTCTCTAGCTATCGGCAAATAACGTTTTATTTCACACTCTTTAGTGATTCCTTTTCTTTTTTTTAGCAATTCACTCATGTGATTATCAGGCGATTAAGGCTGATGAGTTTTTAAATATTTTAAGACTTTAATTCCTTTATTTATGTGAATTTTATTCATAAACTTTTTTTTTGCCATAAATTGCAAGCTTCTTAGCAAAACTGGAAGGATTTATAGATGCTTTTGGTGTTTCAATGACCTTTGACAAAACTTTTTGGAAGCCTTAAAACTTGAAGATTTTTTTTTATGATTTACGGCAAACATCGAACTTTTATCGTATATTCGAGGAAAAACCACAAAAATGATGAACGATAAAATTATTCAAAAAATTTAAATTTCAACATGAACAAAAATTCATGAAAATAAAATAAATATTTCAAAATTAAATTTTATTGCAAAAAGTTTTTATTAATTTTGTTCTAAAGCTAGACAAAATGTTTGTTTATTTTTATAGGTAAAAAAGTGTTTATGGACTGCTAAGTGATGTTTTTAGATGGACTACGCTTAGTCGTTTGGGAAATAAAGAAGAATTCAAACATTTTAGGTGAAATTGCCACAATTTGCATATTTTGAGGCTAGGTTTCAAAACTTTTGAGGTTATGATCTTGAATATTTGAGGTTATTTTCTTGAATTTTGAGGTTTTGTTCCTGAATTTTTAAGGTTAAGTTTCTGAAATTTTAAGGTTAAGTTTCAGATTTTTGAGGTTATGTTGCTTAATTTTCAGGCTATGTTGCTTAATTTTAAGGTTATGTTGCTTGATTTTGAGGTTATGTTGCTTAATTTTGAGGTTATGTTACCTAATTTTGAGGTTTTGTTGCTTAATTTTGAGGTTATGTTGCTTAATTTTGCGGTTATGTTTCTTAATTTTGAGGTTATGTTGCTTAATTTTGAGGCTATGTTGCTTGATTTTGAGGTTATGTTGCTTAATTTTGAGGTTATGTTACCTAATTTTGAGGTTTTGTTGCTTAATTTTGAGGTTTTGTTGCTTAATTTTGAGGTTATGTTGCTTAATTTTGCGGTTATGTTTCTTAATTTTGAGGTTATATTGCTTAATTTTGTGGTTATGTTTCTTAATTTTGAGGTTATGTTTCTTAATTTTGAGGTTATGTTTCTTAATTTTGAGGTTTTGTTGCTTAATTTTGAGGTTATGTTGCTTAATTTTGAGTTTGTGTTGCTTAATTTTGAGGTTATGTAGCTTAATTTTGAGGTTATGTTACTTAATTTTGAGGCTATGTTGCTTAATTTTGAGGTTTTGTTTCTTAATTTTGAGGTTATGTTGCTTAGTTTTGAGGTTATGTTGCTTAGTTTTGAGGCTATGTTGCTAACTTTTAAGGTTATGCTGCTTAATATCGAGGTTATGTTGCTTAGTTTTGAGGTTATGTTGCTTAATTTTGCGGTTTTGTTTCTTATATTTTGAGGTTATGTTGCTTAATTTTGAGGGTATTCTGAATTTTGAGGCTTTGTTAATCTTGAAGTAAGAGGAACTTCATTCTTTTTCTTGAAATTTAGAGGTTATGTCATGTAATTTTTGAAGTCATACTACACAAAGTCAATCAGACCAACAGTCAAGACTCACCTTAATTCCAAGTAACAATTTGGTTGCTCAGAACATTTGCAATGATATTTTATTACGAAAATATTTCCTGTCATTAAGTTTATTGCCAGCAATTTGAAACTTAACATTCCTTTTGATTACGTTAAATTCTCAATTTTTGCCACACAGAATCGTTTTGTAACCGAAGATTTGCAAATGACTGCTCAGTCATCCAGAAACAGGAACATTTAATCAATTCTGGGCTGTCATTAAGTTAGAAAGGCATCAGTTAAGCTAGCACACAACATTCTATTCATTCAGACTCAAAAACAGACAAATTAGCCACAAAACCCCCAAAATCCACCAACTTTAGTCCAATCATTAATAAAAAACTCGAAAAAACATCAACTCGCAATCGAGTGGAACTGAATAAAGTCGTATTTATCATTGTCTATCCAAAAAAAATCTAGAAAATTGCTAAATTGACCATGAGACGCAGACCACATTAGACATCGTCATCAAATGGAGATGAGAAGAGATGTGAGAAGACTGATTAGAGATTAAGAAATAAATCTTGTATTAAGTCACACATTTAAATTTCAATTTTTTTTTCTTGTCTTCTCTTTTGAGTGATTTTTTGGGAATTGATTAGGCATGACTGAGACGGAAGAAGATGAGATTGAAAGGTGTTTTTTTGTTGTTTTGGTGTGGAGCATATGAGTGGCTCAGTAATTAGCCCAGGAGTAATACTCAAATTCAGTTTTAACCTACAAATCAGGAACGTAATCTTAAAGTTCTGGAAGATAACCTCAAAATTCAGGAACATAATCTCAAAAATTCAGGAAAAAAACCTCAATATTAAGGAACATAACCTCAAAATTGAGGAACATAACCTCAAAATTAAGGAACATAACCTTGAAATTTAGGAACATAACCTCGAATTTTAGGAACATAACCTCGAATTTTAGGAACATAACCTCATAATTGAGGAACATAACCTCAAAATTGAGGAACATAACCTCAAAATTCAGAAACATAAACTTGAAATTCAGGAAGATAACTTCAAAATTCAGAAACATAACCTCAAAAATTCAAATCTCAAACTTAATTTCTAACTCAAAATTTCAATTTACTCAAAAAATACCATTCCCAAATTCGAGCACTTCAACCAGCTGGAATTTCGATTACAAAACAATTTTTATTTTTCATTCTCTTTAATCTCAAATAAAGAAGTGTGTAATGAGTTTCCGAAATGTGATGGAATTATTGTGAGGCACAAAACAAAATCGTTTAAAATCATTCAATAATCATAAAAAAATAAGAAATAAAGCTGTACAGCACTAAAGCCAAATTGTAGATAATCTACGAGTAAATGTGTAAGAATAAAAAGAGGAAAAGGGCTGTGCAGGCTGCCAAGAACGACGTAGTCGAATGAAGATCGATGAGCAGACGGCACAAAGAATGATACAAGCATTTTTTTTTGTTCCTTTTAATTCTACTTGAGCCTATAATTAAATCTCTTTAAATCTGTTCAGCGCGATTAGCTTCAGAATTTTTTTTTTATTCTTGTTCCTCTTTCTGTGATCTTCTTTGTTGAACTTTATTGCCTACAATTCATCATATTCTCTCTCTTTTGCTTCGTCTTCTTCTTGGTCTTTGCTGGAATCATTGTTTTTTGCATAATTCTATTTATGAGATTTTTTTGGATCAATTTTAGTTTATAGATTCTAGAATTTCGAGGTTAAGTCTCACATGCTAAACGTACGCTGTTAAGCTGCATGAATTTTGAGGTTAAATTCCTGAACTTTTGAGGTTATGTTCCTGAATTTTTGAGGTAATGTTACTGAATTTTTGAGGTTAAAACTTCTGAATTTTTAGGTTATAATCCTCAATTAAGGGTTAGCTCCTCCATTTTAAGGTTATGTTTTTGAATTGAAGCTGTTAAGTTGCCTAAATTTAAGGTTATGTCCCCAAATCTTCTGCAAATTCGTCTTCCTTCCCACAAAAATCTCAAATGTTCATTTCTATAGTCCAAACCTCTTCCAATTTTCCTTCTTTTTGCTTCGTTTATTTATTAATTCTAAGCAGCACGAAAGGTTAATTCATTTCTCCGTTTGCGTACTTAACCGTTTTGCTGGTCTCGCAGAGAAGAAAATTAAAATCTAGAAAAAGAAATTCGATTTTGAGGCATTAGAGTCATGCGAAATTTAAAAGATTGAAACATGCGAGAGTGTGTAAAATGAGGTAATGGAAGAGATTTAATGGTAAAAACGTATGGATTGTTAGGTATTTGATTGCTTTTTCGAATTCTGGAAGTCAAAAATTCTGCAAAAAAAAAAGTAAAAAAAATCCTGAAAGTCTTAATTTTATTGAATTTCCAACAGAACTTAACCTCAAAATTAAAAAAACCTCCAAACCCAAAACTCAATGTGCATGATGACCCATCAGATTATAAAAATAATTATAAGTTCAATCCAGAAATCCATCTTCAAGTGATACACACGATATGCGTGAGCTACAAGCCCGACAGGTAAAATTTACTCAATAAAAATCTTTCTTTCTTTTTTAAAACGTCACTTAAGAAGCTATTTATTGATTTGTATGGCTACGCATGGAATGAAATGAGAAGTGAAAGAAGAATGAGCGTATAGAAAAAGATTAGAGCACATATGGATGTAGATGAACATGTAATTGCTTATAAGAGGAACGTTTAAAGTGTTTAGAATTGAATAGGATTGTTAAAGCTATTTGGTGGTGTGAAAAGTTTAGAGGTGGTTTCAGAAATGCGGGCTGAAAGTTTATTGTTTTGAGGTTATGCTTTGATGTTTAGTCTTTTTTGACAAATTTGTGCTTTCAATGCAAGTTTGTTTAATTTTATAATTTTTTTTATCAGATCAGGGCCCAAAAATCATTATTTAACTCCAAACTGATCAAAAATTTCAGCTCGACTTACCAAAGCTCACCGTTCAACGTCTCACACATGTCTTTACATCTCTTCAATCCAAATTTCCTCTCTTAGACCATGAACAGGTTCCAATAGTGATGTTTGTCCATTTGAAATGCTGAATATTGTCTGTTGTTGGTTCGATTCCGATCCATCGATACTTGTAACCTCATCGAACTGAATCTCAACTACAGCATCAAGTCTACTTTGTGGATGAACTTGTTCATTCTTCTTATTTCTCATTTTACACATCCTAAAAGCTTTCTTAATGTAAGTCACAATATTGTAACAAGCATTTAGCAAATACTGAGGCAAGGACAGCAGTGAGGAACCCAAACAGATTCCAATCAATCCTCCAACATCCAAAATGAAGTTTTCAAGCCTGTAAGTGACGTAATTTGAGATCTTTTCAATTTGTGAATTAACAAAAATGACTTTTATGTTTGAGTGGAACTGCAAGTGGCTGAAAATAATTATAAAATTGACCAACGTTTTTCAAAATGTCAAATTAATCTTAATTTACCTAAAAACTGTATTTGTCTCGACTTCCTTAACGACTCTATACTTAATTTCTGTACATGATGGAATACATCCGCATGGATACTCGGGAAACTTTCGCTTGTTTGTCTCGTTTCTATAATAACTCCTTGGCCATCTTGCAGCAATAAAACCAGAACACTTTGATTCCATAAATCCACAAACTTTCATGTCTTTGGTCCTCGGCATTGAGAACTTTACACAACCACAAGTCGAGTATATAAAGCTGATCATGCATTCATATTCACAATTGACTTTTGTGTATGACTTAAAAATCTTTAATGGCTTTTCATCTTCATAGTAGCAACCACGCTTGTTAGCTGGGAACTTCCTTAATGACTTCTCAAACTTGACCATCCTCGCCGATACCAAAATTCTCTTTTCCTTGCCTAAAGGAACACTAATCATCTGATATGTAAGTTGTGGCAGCTCATTCGGTAAATGCAGCACAACTCGATAACTTTGTTCCCAATTTGCACACAATTTTTGATTTTTAACAAGATTCGTGACTATTTCTAGTGTTTGCATCTTTACAGCCCTAGCTGGTTGTATAAGACTGTCATTACTTAAATATCCAGTCTCTAAAGTCCATCTTGTTGGTTCTGGATCATTGACATCGTCATGATGCTCATGATTCATTGATATGTTCGGTTCCCATGTCTTTGTCACTCGCGTGCGCTTAAAAATGTCAAAATCAGAACTAAGTCCATCTTTAAACATTGAATGATATCCAAGCATATTAAATGTAAAGCACAAGCCATCATCTGTAAGTGAATTATGGAAAAATCTTTCACAATCGTCAAAATCTTGATGAAAATCATTAATTCCGCATCGCATCATCGATTCTGTTATGTTTTGTGACACTTTTTGCAGCACATCCACTAAGTCAACATTAATGCCACCATTTTGGTCATATTTCATGATATCTGGACATGTTTGAACCAGAACTGACTTTAAATGATATTCAGTAAGATTATTTAACCTCAAAAAATCAGGTTCCAATGCCTTCTTATCAATCACAAATGGTGGACATACAGTAACACCTGGAAATGGAATTTGACTGCTTTGTATTGAACTTTCCTTTGAGAATAATTCAGGCTCAAGTTTAAGTTTCTTAAAAAGTCGAATAGTTTGAATTCCTAAAGCGAGAACGAGCAACGAGTAGCCCAAAAACTTCCACATCCTTTTCAAGACTGATGATTTTTGACGAATGACAGAGAATAAGTACATGATGAACTTGATTTATTGGATGATCTCTCAGGTCTGACTAGAAAGTGGACAATTGTTTTGAATCTTGATTGTTGCTAGCTGTTTGGAAGGGTTGACCATGTTTTTAAGGGTTCGTTAAGTGTGCGCATTTTCAAGTTATCTTGTCAATAAAGTTTGCTGTTTCCAAATGTAACCAGAGATGAATTAAAACAGTGTTTCTCAAACTATGTTCCGCGGAACTTAACTGCTTGGTTAAAGAATCTTAGCTTTATCATATAGTGGTTGCCAGCGTGGCATAAATACATTAAAAGATGATTGACTGCTTCGTAGCTTTTCATGCATCTAAAACAGTGCTGGTCAACCTTTTTTAGGCCACAGCACGCCTTGGTGGGAAGCTGTACACATCATACGATTCGTGGTATTTCCCAAACTTTTTCTCGGCACACCAAAGTACCGCGGCACATAGGTTGGCCTTCACTGAACTAAATCGTCTAAACATTTTATTCAGAGTTGACAAACCTCACGGAGGTGGGTCTCAATGTTTCAATGATTTAATGTTTTTTTTTTGGAGGAGGCATGCCAACTCTGATTTTTATCTATGCTTTAAAGCTGTGGTCAGTGAACCAACAAGTTTGATAATTTTTAGTTGTTGCTGCGCATATGATTTAACCCCAAACCCTGAGCAACATAGTCAGTTGCTGGTTTGTAAACCAAAACTTGTAGCTTCAATAAAGCTTTACAACTATCAATTAGTTATACAAGCACATAAACATACAATTGTGATCAAATACTTAGAATTATCAAGTTAAAAATCATCGATTTTTGTTCAATAGCTTAATTGTTTTTATTAATCACCTCGTAATCAATTCCATGAGTGCGGACATGGTCAAATAGAGCAGCTGAAAACTGAAAGATTTGAAATCATTTCAATCAATCAAAATTATTTATTGACAATTAAAGTCAAATGCAACAACATGACACAACATTCATAATTAATATGTTGACTCAGGGGGAGAACAGCTTAATGGGACATTTTTTGTTTAAGATTCTGTTGCATTTTAACAAGTTTCAAAACACTGCACACTTCATGACACTGCATAACTTCAAAATTACTTATTAAGTGCTATAAATTAATCAAAAAAAATTTCCCACAAAGCGATATTCCCCCTAAGTTGAAATCAAAATTTCTCCTTAATTTCCAAAATCTACAACTTCAAGCTCGACCATCTCAGATCTTTGACTGTAGATAGTTGTAACGGATCGTCTGTTCTTCCTAAATTGAGCTTGTTCTTCAATCTTCCTCTCGTTCCTCAATGTCAGTGTATTTCGTACTCTTTGAGTATAATTTTTGATTGTCCTAAAGATGCTCACAATTAGTTCCAATACAGACAATATCGATGATCCTAAGAACAGTCCAATCAAGCCACCAATATCGAAGATGAAGTTCTCCAGCTCATAAGTCACGTAGTTGGATGTCTTTTCGATCTGTGAGTCAGCAAATGTGACTTTTATATCTGCAAGCAGGTAGTTGCCCTTAATGTAACTAGAAAAATATTGAAAAGTTTGCTTAACATTATGGTTGATTCCAGTTATGCTTAATTAAAACATATTTACCCAATTTCTTTATTCCGTCTCTCATTTTTAATGACTTTATACTTGATTTCAGTGCATGATGGCAAGCAGCCGCATGGATAGTCTGAAAACTTCTTCTGATTGTCTTGATCTTCGTAGTAACTTCTCGGAAAAATGTCAGTTATTGTCATTATGCAACTATATTGGATAAAATCACAAACTTTCATGTCCTTCGTCCTGGGCATTGAGAACTTGACACATCCACAAGTTGCGTTCACAAAGTCAGTCATGCATTCATACTCGCAGTTGGCTTTTGTGTAGGATTTAAAGACTTTTAATGACTTTTCACCTTCAAAGTAGCATCCACGCTTGTCTGGCTTAAAGCTTCTTAAAGACTCTTCATTTTGGGATACATCAGCGGATATAAGAATGTTGTCATCGATTCCAAATGGAATATCAATCGTCTCATATGAAATTTGTGCCAATTCGTTCGGCAAATGAAGCATTAATTTGTAGTTTCTTTCCCGTTCTTGACAGAAGCTATCGTTGGATAAGCCAATTATATTGATTAATAAAGTTTGCATTTTAAGGGCTTTTGCTGGCTGTACAAATTCAACATTACTCAAGTATCCATGTTCAAGGCTCCATGTTGGCGGATCTGTGTCATTTTCGTGACGTGACTCATTCATGACTTGCTCAGGATCCCAAGTTTTTGCAATTTTGGTTCGCTTAAATGTATCGAAATCTGAACTGACTTGATCATTGAACAATAAGTCATGTCCAAGCATGTTGAATGTATAGCAGATCCCAAATTCAGTCACCGATTTGATAAAAAGCTTATCACAATCCATATTGTCAACCCAGTATTTGTTTATTCCACAATGATTTATATTTTCGGCTACGGTTAAAGATGATTTGAGAAGCACATCCACAACATTCACGTCACTGTCATTGTATAGCATGTACATGTCATGGTTTGGACATGTCTGAAGAGATGCACCTCGCAAATCATTAACCGTCAAGTTGTTAAGCCTCAAAAATTCAGGATTCCATGCTTCATTCTTTACATTAGTCGGTGGACAGACAGTAACAGCTGGAAATGGAATTTGACTGCTTTGGATTGAACTTTCTTTTGAGAAAATTTCCGGTTCAATTTTGAGCTTCTTGTAGAGTCGCTGAATTTGATAGCTTAGACCGATTAACAGCAACAAATAGCCAAAGAATTTAAATATTTTTATTAAAATTGACTTGTTGCTGTACATTGCAGTGACCAGCTTTATAGTGAGCTGCTTGAGGTTTTGCAATTGAAAATGGATGTGAATAAAGTTGTCAATATCAAGTTCATGATTAAAATCTTATGGAATCGATAATTGTGTCATTTAAAACTAGTCATAATACAAGCTGTAGGCAAAGTGCAAATTAAAACTCTTCATTAATGATTGCATGATAAATTAAGCACACATCACTTGCCACAAACTATAAATTTCAACAATTAAAGCTAAACATATACGAAGGGGGTCTTGTAGGGGGTCCTTGAATATATTAAAATACAAGGAACCTCAATTTAACTTAATTCTCTAAATCCTCTAAACTTATGTCATCAAATTGTACTGTCTGTGACCTTAATGATGCATCCGGCAATCCTGTTATCGCAAATACTCTCATTTGTAGACTATTCATCGTCATTGTTGATATATTGTCACCACTAAATGGTCTGCTCTCATCATCAATGCTTGATTCAATTCCATCTGTTGCCTGAAGTTCAGGCTCGACAGTTTCTATCGTTGATCTTGGCTTAAACCACTTAATAGCCTCCTTAGTATGACTTTTAATTGCCTTTAAGATGCTTACAATTAGTTCCAATACAGACAGTATTGATGATCCTAAGAATAAGCCAATCAAGCCACCAATGTCAAAGATGAAGTTCTCCATCTCATAAGTTACATAATTGGATGTCTTCTTGATCTGTGAGTCACCAAATACGATATCAAATAGGGCGTAGCGATATGATTCACTGGAAGTTAAATTAATTAAAATAAATGAAATAATTAAAAAAAACCTTAAAATACTCACGCTAAGTCATTGTCGTTCTGAATATGCTTTAATACTTTATACTTGATTTTAGTGCATGATGGGAGGCATCCGCACGGATAATGTGGATATCTCTTCTTATTTTCTGGATCTTTATAATAACTTCTTGGGAAATTGACGACAACATCTTCAGTACAACCGCGCAAGACCTTACAAACTGTCATTTTATCTGTCCGAACCATCCAGAACTTTACACATCCGCAGATTTTGTATGTTAAATTAATAAGGCACTCATACTCGCAGTTGGCTTCTGTGTATGACTTGAAGAATCTAAGATGCTTCTCTCCATCGAAGTAACAGCCTCGAGTTTCAGGTGGGAACACTCTCAGTGAATCCTCATTGTGGATCACTTCCGCTGACACCAAAACTACTTCTTCTTTTCCAATTGGATAGTCGACGGCATCAAATGAGAGCTGCGGAACCTCGTTTGGCAGATGAAGAATTATTTTAAAGATATTTTCACGTCCTTCGCATAAAGTCTGGTTCATTAATGAATTGGTTTGGACAGTCAGCATCTGCATTTTTAGAGCTCTGACTGGCTGAACATTGTCAAAGTCACTTAAGTATCCAGTCTCGAGGCTCCATATTGATGGTTGTGGATCATTTATATCATCATGATGAGATTCGTTCATAGTGTCTTCAAATGTCCATGATTTTGTGATCTTTGTGCGCTTGTATATGTCAAAATTGGAACTAATGACTTCCTTGAATATCGACTGATGTCCAATCATGTTGAATGTGACGCAAATTCCCTTATTAGTCATTGACTTGATGAATATTCGATCACAATCCAAGTTATCAGCAAAATAATTATTAATTCCACAGCGATTAAAGAAATCCCAGAAATTTGGCGATGCCTTCAACATGATGTCAACTTGATTTGTGTCATCAAATTGATACTTTCTGATAACTTCAAAATCTTCTTTACATGTTAGTAGAAATGCTGCACGCAAGTCATTTTCAGTCAGATTGTTAAGCTTCAAAAATTCTTTGTTCCAAGCTTCATTCTTAACAGTATACGATGGACAGACAGTAACAGCTGGAAATGGAATCTCACTGCTTTGGATTGAGCTTTCCTTTGAGAAAATTTCCGGTTCCACTTTGAGCTTCTTGTAGAGTCGCTGAGTTTGATAGCCAAGACCAATGAACAGCAACAAATAACCGAAGAATCGAAATATTTTCTTAATAAATGACATGTTCCTGCTAATTGCAGACACTAGCTTCATGTTGAAATGCTTGTGAAATCGACGATTCTGGTGTAAATGAAAAGTTTAAACAGAGTTGCAATTTACAGCAATATGCTGTTAACAGTCATTGATTATTTAATCTAGATTATTGAATAATTGAACATTAAATTGGGAATTTTGTCATAGCTACTTAAAGGCATAACATGGCTTACTAATGAAACTCTAATTGTCAGACTCTATTAATATTCTTGATTTTTTAATTCATGATTTAACACAGTCAAGCTATTGTAGACATATACAGCTATAACATCGACATAATAATCAAGGCACAAAGGCAATCCAATTGATCTAGCTTAATTTCATTCAAGGATAGCTCCAGAAACTCAACAAGTGTACAACAATCTCCACTCAATCATTGAAAAAGGCAATGATTAGTAACGCAACGCAGCATCAACATCCAAAAACTAGTTAATTTGAATTCTCTAAATCCTCAACCAGCAACTCATCTACATCAAACTGTTGACTGCAAATAGTATCAATGGATGTCCTTTCCGATTGACTTCTCACTGATTGAACTGATTGATCAGCTTCTCTTGACTTGACCTTGTTTAAGATTCCTAAAACTTGACTTTTAATTATCTTTGATATGTTCACAAGTAGTTCCAATACTGACAATATCGAAGATCCCAAAAACAATCCAATCAAGCCACCAATATCAAAGATAAAGTTCTCCAGCTCATAAGTCACGTAGTTGGATGTCTTCTTGATCTGTGAGTCACCAAATGTGATCTTTATGTCTGCATACAAATGAGTTTCACTTGAAAATCTTTAAAAATATTAAATTAAAAAAAAAATTTAAAAAGTTTTGAATTAAATTCTTACTCGCTTGGTTTGCTCTTTTCACTTTTTATGACTTTATACTTGATTTCTGTGCATGATGGCAAGCAGCCGCATGGATAATCTGGAAACTTTCTTTGATTCTCATGATCTTCATAGTAACTTCTCGGAAAAACTGTTGTTATTGTCGATATGCAGCTGTAATGAATAAAATCACAAACTTTCATGTCCTTGGTCCTTGGCATTGAGAACTCGACACATCCACAAGTTGCATTCACAAAGTCAGTCATGCATTCATATTCGCAGTTGGCTTTTGTGTAGGATTTAAAAACTTTTAATGACTTTTCACCTTCAAAGTAGCATCCACGCTTGTCTGGCTTAAAGCTTCTCAGTGAATCTTCATTGTAAGTCATTTCTGCTGATATTAGGAATGTCTTTTCCTTTCCCAATGGAACACTAACAATGTCGTTTGAAAGTTGTGGCAATTCATTTGGCAAGTGCAAGAGTATTTCATAGTTTTTGTCCCGAACCTCACAGAAGCTGTCGTTGATTGGATTAAAAACCCCGAGTAATAAAGTTTGCTTTTTTAGGGCTTTGGCTGGCTGCACAAATTGACCGTCACTTAAATATCCATCCTCAAGGCTCCATGTTGGCGGATCTGTGTCATTTTCATGACGTGACTCATTCATGACCTGCTCAGGATCCCAAGTTTTAGCAATTTTTGTCCGCTTAAATGTATCAAAATCTGAACTGACTTGATCATTGAACAATGAGTCATGACCAAGCATGTTGAATGTATAGCAGATCCCATACTCAGTTACTGATCGAACAAATAGCTTCTCACAATCCTGATAGCCCATAAAGTATTTATTTAATTTGCATTGATAGACATTATCTGCAAAGTTTGGTGATGATTTAAGTAGCACATCCACAACATTCACGTCACTCTCATTGTACAGCATGTAAATGTCATGGTTTGGACATATCTGAAGGGATGCACCTCGCAAATCATTCACCGTCAAGTTGTTAAGCCTCAAAAATTCAGGATTCCATGCTTCATTCTTTACATTAGTTGGTGGACAGACAGTAACAGCTGGAAATGGAATTTGACTGCTTTGGATTGAACTTTCCTTTGAGAAAATTTCCGGTTCAATTTTGAGCTTTTTGTAGAGTCGCTGAATTTGATAGCTTAGACCGATTAACAGCAGCAAATAGCCAACAAATCGAAAAACTTTAACAACAAGTGACTGATTCTGGCGAATTGCAGAGACAAGCTTCATATTGAAGTTGCTTTAATGAATTCTCGTTTGGCATTGTAGAAAAGTTATTAAAATTGTGACTGAATATGGCACATGATAGGATTGATTATATATAAATTACTTATGGCATTAGAATCGATATAATGAGTAAATATTTAATGACGTAAAGTCCTTTACGTTGTTGGTGGGGGGAATGATTTAATAAAAAAATTCAATCCAAGGGGGATAACAACCTGATTGGGGAATGATTTAATAGAAAAATTCAAACCAAAGGGGACAACAACCTGATGGGGAATGATTTAATAGAAAAATTCAAACCAAAGGGGACAACAACCTGATGGGGAATGATTTAATAGAAAATTTCCAACCAAAGGGGATAACAACCTGATGGGGGAATGATTTAATAGAAAATTTCCAACCAAAGGGGATAACAACCTGATGGGGGAATGATTTAATAGAAAAATTCAAACCAAAGGGGACAACAACCTGATGGGGAATGATTTAATAGAAAATTTCAAACCAAGGGGGATAACAATGTTGGGGAAATGATTCAATAAAAAAAATTCAAACCAAGGGGGATAACAACCTGATGGGGGAATGATTTAATAGAAAAATTCAAACCAAAGGGGACAACAACCTGATGGGGAATGATTTAATAGAAAATTTCCAACCAAAGGGGATAACAACCTGATGGGGGAATGATTTAATAGAAAAATTCAAATCAAGGGGGATAACAACCTGATGGGGGAATGATTTAATAGAAAATTTCCAACCAAGGGGGATAACAACCTGATGGGGAAATGATAAATAGAAAATTTCCAACCAAGGGAGATAACAACCTGATGGAAAATGTTAAATAAAATAGTTATTAATTTTCTATCTTGTTGTTCTCCCCTCGGCAAATGAGGTTCATGTTCTCTTAGGTCCATAGCTACAGACCTCAATAATCAAATTCTATATCCAATTTCTCAACATTCTCTTCTTTCCATTTTCCATCTCATGACCATTGAAAATTCAAATCTTTTATAAATCGATCAATCTTATAACAATGTTTAAGGCATCTAAACCCACAATTTCTTATTCTTGTTTTCTCGATTCTCGATCACGCTAAAGTTCTATAGAACCGTAGATGTATCTCCATAAGTGCCTATTAAATGCTTCTTTATTCAATTGTTCCGCGCATTTATATAAAAAATATATATTCGTAGAGATGGTAAAAAGAATTTAATTGATATCACAAAGGAGACGTTTAAGATGAATGTGAAGAAGAAAAGGTGGAACCAGAAAGTCATCTATCGAGAGTCACTTTTTTCAGTTCTATTATTTAACAATTTTGTAAGTTGAATTGGTTTAGTTTAATGTACGGTAGAAATGTTTGAGTTTAGTTTTATTTTAGAGGTGATTTGGAGCGGGAAAATGCAGTCGAGTAGGGAAGTTTGAGTGATTTCCTGGAGTTTAGAGCGCATTTTTGATTCTTACTTGAAATTTTTTAGACAAAGTGGTGCTCCGTACAACACTTTTGACACAAATTAGTGGCAAGTGACCTAAAGTCGCACGCAGCACACCAATTTTGATACAAACTAGTAGCAAGTGTCTTAAAGTCGCAAGCTGCACACCACCAGAGTTGGCACGACGCTGAGCGCCCGGACGGTAAAAACGCTAAACGGTGGACGCTTTTTGACTGCAGCCGGTAGTTTTTTTTTTGCCGGCAACCGGCAAAAACGGCTACCGACATTGCCGGTCGCCGGCAAAAACGGCGACTGGTAAGACGCTGAGCGTCCAAAAAATGAAAATTTTCTATTAACGATGAAAAATGCTGGGAACATTGATTTAAAATTATGAAAATAGTTTTGAATGATTAAAAATTGTAAAAGAAAATAGAAAAATTATTTTAAAAATGGAAGAAAATTTGAAATTCATGAAAAATGATAAAAAATTGCGAATAAACTATTTTTTTAAGTTTAAGTTTACTTAAAACATTTATTAAATTTCTAGTTCTAATTTGTTTCTTTTTCTTTCTTCACATATATTTGTGTAATTTTCGAAATAGGTTTAAGTTATTTTTTATATAAAAAAAAAAAAAAAAAAAAAAAAAAAACCTTTACCTATTCAGATCAATTGTGATCCAGAGGTGCGCTAGGGCGATTCGCAGCTAATGAGAGTTTTAACGAGTGAGGATGCGCCAAACCACTGCACTCAAACCTAGACCTACAATTTATAGTGGGATCCGAACCACTCCTTTGATGACATTTCTGTCTGTAGCCTACAAAGGAAGGCTGTGAGCCTCATTTCCAGTACATATGATTCGAAAAAGAACAAGTGAAAAATTTCCCATACCCAGTCTCGAACCCATGATCGCTGTGTCGGTATTGCAATAATTAGGTACCGAAGTACTAAACCATTCCACCACCGAGCCACTTCAGCTCACTTTTTTTTTTATATATATATATGTTATATTATATATATTATGTTATATATTATATCGCAGTGAGTCTGCGCTACGCAAAGGGAGACAAAGTAGTTGAGCGTACCATAGGAGTCATCACTCAACATCAACGACAAACAGGAGCGAACCTCTTTAACCAAGTAGAGCTACTACTCAGGAAAGTTGGTTTGACGATCAACGACATATACTCAACATGCACCGACCAAGGAGCTAATATGCTCAGAGCAGCTGATTTGGCAATACAGGCGCAAGATGCTATCAGAATATGCCGAGCAATAGCAAACCTTGAGCATGAAGAAGAAATAAACATCGACGAAGCACAAGCAGCAGAGCGAGCAGAAGAAATAGATGTGGAACATATGCTTCGTGTAGAGGCAGAACTCGATCGTGAGTGGGATGAACAACAACAACATCTGCATGATGAACAGGAACAGGAAGATCCAGAGCCATTAGTTACAGAAGTCATGGTAGACGAAGGAGCTCTGTGTTCAAAAATGGTTTGTGGTGCGCACACATGTCAACTCGCAGTAACAGACGTCATCATTGATTTTAGGATGGTCATAGCAGAAATACGAGCTGTTGTGAAGGCATCAAAGAGACTTGAGCTCTCTCAAGTTCTTCATGCTGCAAGAATCAGAAGCCTGCGCTTGGACGTCGAAACAAGATGGGACAGTTTGTATGGGATGATTAGCGACGTCAATGAATTCAGAAACCAGCTCCAGGAAGTTGCGTTTACACACGAAATACTTGCTTTCAATGAAGACGCCTGGGAATTCATCGATGAATTCATCCAAGTGTTCACTCCAGTGCACTTTGCGATGAAGGAGTTCCAGAGAGCAGACATCACAATGAGTGAATTTTACATCAGCTGGGTGAAGATGGAGCTCGAAATCTCTGGTGTTCCACTTGGTGACGAAGAAATTAAAGACAGACTACTCGAGGCATTGGAACGACGTAAGAGAAGGTTCTTTGAATGTGACGCCTTCATCGCAGCACTTCTTTTAGATCCTCGCATCAACTGGTCAAATAATCAAGAAGATTTCTTTGGCCCACAACTACTGGAAAGAGAAATGGTGCATATCGAAAAAATTCACCAGGTTCTTATCAACAGAGGACAAGTTGATCAACTAGAGAATCAAAATCGAGATCAACAAAACGTCATTTATGAGGCATTAGATCAACGACTAGGAGGTGTTCGACGAGGACAAGATCAATCATGGCAAAACATAAATCAGCGATTGACCATTCGCCAACAGATCAACAGGTTTCTAGCAGAGATAAGAATATCATCAGGCGCTAAGTTAAACCCGCAAAAGTACTGGTACAACAAACGTGATGAAGAACCAGAAATCTACATGGTGTCTCAGGTTGTCTACGGGGCTGCTTTTTCACAGGTCAAGGTTGAGAGAGACTTCAGTGGTTTCGCTCTTGTCCTTAACCACTTGAGGACGTTATTAGCAGACAACACGCTCAACGCAATCATGGTTTGCAAGTACAACTTAGACTTGTTACAAAAAATAAAATTTTTCTAAAACTACAAAAGGAAATAGAAGCTTTAAAACCAAGACAACCTAGACTTAGACTGCCAAAGCATAAACAAAAAATCAACAAAACGGAAATAGAGAATGAAAAAATTAGACTTAGACACACTTAGAAAAAAAGACGAAATAGAAGTTTAAAGAAGAAAAAAAAACAGAAAAAAAAAACAAAAAAAAAACAAAAAAAAAACAAACAAAGCAACTTTAACATCATCAACTTAAACGTACTTAAAAACAAAACAGAAAGAAATTTAAAAAACAAATAAAAAAAATTTCGACCTAACAAAAAAAACTTACACTTAAAAAGAAAAATAGTTTAAACATAGTAATAAAAAGAAAAATTTAGAATCTGCAGCAATTATTTTATCGTTTGTTATGATTTTCGTTTTTTACCATTTTTCAAAAAAAATTTTTACAAGTTTTAATCATATTTAACTACTTTTATTATTTTAAATCAACATTCCCAACATTTTTCATTGTTAATAGAAAATTTTCTAAAATTTTCAGTTTTTGGACGCTCAGCGTCTTACCAGTCGCCGTTTTTGCCGGCGACCGGCAATGTCGGTAGCCGTTTTTGCCGGTTGCCGGCAAAAAAAAAACTACCGGCTGCAGTCAAAAAGCGTCTACCGACAATGCCGTCTGCCGGTTTTGCCTGTGGACGCTTTTCAGCACGCTTCCAACTCTGCACACCACTTTTGACACATACTAGTAGCAAGTGATCCAAAGTCGCACGCAGCACACCACTTTTGACACAAACTAGTAGCAAGTGACTCAAATTCACACGCAGCACACCACTTTTGACACAAACTGGTAGCAAGTGATCCAAAGTCGCACGCAGCACACTACTTTTGTATCCAGACCTAAACTGCATCTCAATTCCCAAAAATCTAGCTCCAAGAAATCTATAAACTGCGATAAACATCTCCTCAGTTAAACCTCTGTAAAAGACATAGTAACTCCAACAATAAGTCTATAATAATAAAAATAGTAAGAGCCAAGAATCGAGTACAAGAAGAAGTCCAACAAAAGAAGCCCAA